ATATAAAAACAATTTTTGTAAAATTTATTTTTCGTCGAAATGTTTTTTTTTCTTCAGACAATATTGTCTTTAATGTGTATTCTTCATAAAAGCAATTAAAAGCTTATCTAATTAAATATTGTCTTAGTTTTATTGCAATTTTTTTTCGATTCAGAACAGATTTTCGGTAAGACGGGGTCTGATTTTAAAAAAAAATTCGCTGATTTAAATTCTATAAATTATTCTGCTTTTACCTAATATAGTCACTAAAAATTATCCCGTTGAATTTCTCAAATTTTCTTTAAATTAAATAGGGGTATGCAACACATGTAAAAAAAAGATTTTTCCCAAGGTTTTCTAATAAAAAAAAAATCAGAAATAGTTTCATTCATTTGTGAATGAAGCCCTGAAAATTTCATTAACCTCCGACAATTATTTTATTTTTGCAAGAATTTTCAAATTAATGTCTATCACCTTTAAAAGGAGGCCAAAATTTACTGTTAAACATTAGTACAACCGCTGACAAAAAAACGAGTTTTTTAATAAAAAATTCGAATGTTCTAAAAAGGGGTAAAAAATTTAATTAAATGATTAAAAAATACTTTGATCCTTCCTCTATACTGGATCAGGAGGTCACACCAGCAAGAGGGATAAAGCTAAAGGGATCAATTAGAAAAGAAGTATTGTCCAAAGAGACAGAAAATAAGAAGGTTAGAGAGGGCGAAGATCATCGTGAATGTGTGAAAATGATCCTGGAAAAATATATATATATTTGAACTTTATTTCAATCTTTCATGAGCTTACAGTCCTTAGCTATGATTAATTAATGATTAACATGTCATTTTCGTTTATGATCTATTTTATCACGATCCTTCTGTTAAGCTTGAAGAGTAATTATACATTCTTATTGCTCAAAATAGAGTCTAATAATGTTATAAAACCTCGGCGAATTCCAGTAAGATATATTTAATCATTTCTAAGATAGAAAGGTTAAAAGCTTAATCTAACAAATGGACAATTTAGCTTTTACCCGATTTGGAGAATTTTGCCGTTACATCCGATATACACATACACACACACACCCCACACACGCATATATATATATATATATATATATATATATATATATATATATATATATATATATGATTAATACAAAATTTGTCACTTAGCTGATTGATGTTATTTTCATCATCTCGACTCTAGAGTTTCGTAGACGGACACTCCAGCAATCAATTCGTCCACTCGTCAGGAGTTATCAGCAATTGACTGTTTATTTTCTCGTTTGTCTGTGCAGTCACTAAAGTTTTAGACCAAATCGTAATTTTATTATCTTAAAACTTTATTATCTTTGTTCTTGAAGGCAAGATGTATTATCCAAACAACAGAGTAACAAGTAATTTGTGAGAGACTGACTCAATTTAACTCACGATTGTTCTCTACTCACTTGAAGACAAGCAGTTTAGCGGTCAGTATTTTGTATGGCTTCCTTTGCCTTTGATAACTGCTTAGATACGTCGGGTAATGCTGGGAATCAAGTTGTTAAAATAATCACCCGAGATTTCTTTTATGTACACTAATCTTTAATCTTTATGTCCACGCTTCTTTAATAGCGTTCACTTGAAGGTAGTTTTTCTGAAACTTTGATTTTTACAATTTACCATCAATTTTCAATTGGTTTCAGATCTGGGCTGTTGCACAGCCAATCCAATGTTGTCTCATTGATCCTGTTCAAAAATTCTGAATGACCTTTGGCCGGTGACATAAAGTACCATCATGCATAAATATTGTGCACTGATGAATGTGCATCTGCAGTCACCGTTTCTCCTACAGTGGTTCCACATTGCACCATTCATCTTTGTTCTTGGAGGTTAGAATTATATACATTATTTACATTATTCGGACTATTGTCCTCATCTTTGTCGCCATATTTATCACAACGTTTCGGCCGTTGTACGCTCCGGCCTTCTTCAGCTAGTTGGAATGTCGAACCGTTTATTTCGCTCACTGGGGTAGACTGTTCTAGTTCCACGTGCCATGTTTAATGGATGTCAGTTATCAGTTATCTCCTGTTAATTTCCCTCTGAAACACCATTGGAAAATTCGTAAACTTAAGGAATCAGCACATATGCTAGACCACAAAAATCTCCTGAGCCGACCAAGCATAGAAATAAATACAATATGGGAACCAGTAATAAGGAGTGTCAGAGAAAAGTAATGATAACAACAAAGTTGCAATATGAGCTCTGGTAAAAACATGTAAGATAACAGCAAAATTGCAATATGAGCACTGGTTGCTGAAGACATTAGGTTTATAATACCCAGAAATTCATACCCAGATGTCCTCAAGGACACATGGCACAGTGGATAAAGGCGTTGGTTAGATCCAGTGACAGGACCCAAAGAGTGTGAGTTCAATAGAACTTTCAGAGGGAAATGATAAATATGGCGACAAAGATGAGGGCAATAGTCCGAATAATGTAAATAATGTACATAATACCTCATCTCAGAAATATAGACAGTTAGAATTATAGTTCAGGTTTTCCAGGTTTGGTCATGGCAACCCAACCCGTTCGGCTTGGTGGGTGTTTCATAGCCTGAATTGTATATTTTTTATCGCCTCGTACCAGGGGTTGTTCCGATGTTTCTTTTATGCATGACCAATTGCTGCCGAGTAGACTAAATTGAAAACAAACTTAGCACCAATCTTCAGCTCTTCAGGGTTCGTGTTGCTTAGCAAATGCCAGACGCCTGGATTTTCTAGCTGCAGTTAGGCGCGATTTACCTGAATGATTTCAAACAAAACTCAAATCTCAGACCTACGCGAAACTGTCACAGAACTGACTTTTGTGCCATTTTTATGTAGAGCAGCAGTTTGAAGTAGAATTTGGGGATCTTGTAGCGTTACAAATGGTCATCTCCAGCACTGGCTTTCCTTGAACGTCCGCTTCCCCCTTTGTCGATAAATATTCCCGAATTTTGGAAATTCACAATAGCATTGTGCGCATCTGTTTTGCTACAGCCTAATTTTACACTAAATTCATGTTAAAAATATTGTTCATCACGTAAGACCGCAATTTGGGGCGTTCATGTAGGCTAAAATGAGGATGTTTTGCGAAAGATCTAAGTATAATTCGCTATACAAATAACATCAAAATGGCTGCTAATTTGGCACTGACAAAATCATGTGTGTCTGTTGCAATAACAAAGTTATTGCATCATGCAACCTGATCTGATACAGGGTAATTAAAAAAGCGAAAATACCCTTGATAGTGCTAAGTAGTCTTAAACTGATGTTAATAACTGTAATATATATATATATATATATATATATATATATATATATATATATATATATATATATATATATATATATATATATATATACTGGTGTTACAGTAAAATTATTCAATTGTTAGATAAAGATTTGAACCATTGTCTCTCAGAAATTTTACTGAAATTCTCCGAACATTTTATAACACTATTTGATTCTACTTTGCGCTATAAGAATGTATTTAGCTCTAAGTTGAAATGATGATCCCTCTTGCCGTTCTGACCTCTTGATCCAGTTTTCCTCTCTGCTGTTCCTTCTTTTTTAAACTCATTCACCATTCTCTGGATGGTTCTTGAATGGACTTTGAAGATGGAAGCCAGAGAATGAATGCTGATACCATTACTGAAGGTCTGGATGATATTTTTTCTCTCACCATTGCTCAGTTGGGAAGACATAGTGCGGCTGACACAAAACGACTTTAACCTGTTCTCTTTCTTGCTGAATAACTCAAAGGGTTTTTTAGTGATTCTTATGATAAATAGTATCAAGATTGCTAAACATCTTATCTGAAAACCTGGAAAAAAGAAAGTCAATTAGTTTATTGGATTTTTAGATATTAAATATTTTGTGGTATGGACAATTACGGCATGCTGTTACATGATTTGGACATTTTTCACCAGATATATATATATTAAGAAATGGACAAAGTCCGACAATTTATTTATTAAAGACATGTTTATGTTTAACGTTCTTTTTATAGATACAAGTATTTAAGTAAATGCCCTGTTTATAATAAACAGTATTAAATAACATTTACCGGCCTGAATGTCCGAGAAATTTTCATAGAAAATATTCGTCCTTTGACAGGATTCGAACCTGCATCCTATACGGAACCGTCATTTATAATAAAGAACGTTAAACATAAAAATGTTATTATATATAAACATATATATTTATATTAAATACTTATATATATATATAAAGAACGTTAAACATAAAATGTCTTATATATATATATATATATATATATATATATATATATATATATATATATGGTGTATCAAAATACTTTTACAAACATTTTGGGGCGGATTCCTCACACAAAACAAGGACAAAACTTCCATAGAAAGATATGCCCGCAAATCCTTTGTTAATGAGGTATTAAGATTAAAGCTTACAGTAGATCCTGTTACATCCAAGATACAACCCAAAAATACTTTTGTAAAGTTTGGGGACTAGTTCCTAGACACTAAAACAAGCAACGCGACGATGAATTTTTGGGGCGTGGTGCGGGAATAATGTTTTCATATTTCGGTAGGAAGAACTTGGAATACTAAAAAAATATAAAAAATAAACCCAAAATTTAAAAAAGAATTGAAGATAGACATCCCTGCATCATTAGAGTTGAAAGTGTAAAATCGTTTTGTGTATTATATAAGTTTGATTACATTCATAAAACTATAATTAGTCTGAAGATGTTCCTTCTGGAGTCGAAATGCGTTCTTTTGTTTTGTTTTGTTTTTTGTTTTTTTGTTGTTTTTTTTTTTTCATACAACTCAGGTCGGCCATCAAGTACTATGTGATTTCCAATCAGGAATTCCAATCAGGATTTTTACTCATAAATTTAATATTTTTTCTTTATCTTTGCGAATGTGTGTGAGTCTATACGAGAGAGAAATGGGCAACTGTGCCAAATGTTTATTAGGGGATCAATAGAGAGTTTTAATATCCATAAATTGTTTGACACTTAGGGAGACATTTGTGCATGAACTGAGTTATGTAATACGAAACATATATGAGGGAAAACTGAAACTGAACAGATAGAAATCAATAGGGAATAATGGACGTAGATAGATAGATAGATAGATAGATAGATAGATAGATAGATAGATAGATAGATAGATAGATAATTGAACAGTATTCTCTTCGCTATGGTAACTAGACGTTTTGAATTTAAGCGTCGACGTCGAGATCTCATCAATTTACAGTTGAGTTGGCTAGATATAACCTTAATTTCTTAGGCTAACAGCATCTTTTCTCGCAATTCTCGCTTGTCAGCTCCCTTCTAGATAGATAGATAGATAGATAGATAGATAGATAGATAGATAGATAGATAGATAGATTGCAATAATATGTACTACCTGTGTTCTATAATCAGTCAAGTGTCATGGTTGGGCGATCATGTCACGTTCGATTCAAGACTAACCAGGCAGAAGATTTCCCTGCGGTAGATTGGTTTCTGGGGTCGACTGGGTGCCAACCAAAACTATAGGACCATTTCTATCCTACTATTAAAGGAGAGAAGATATAGATTGATAACTTTTCCAAGCATATTTGCGCTCAAGAGAATATATTAGGTTGGTGCAAAAATAATGCCGTAATAATGTCGTTTTTTTACGTTAAAAATACGTCAAAAAACGACATTATTACGTCATTATTTTTGCACCAACCTAATAACAAACACGACTAGAACTTGGCTCTCCATTACACCACACATACTGTGTTATATAATAGTTGAGCAAGTGCCATTTGCTCTACTCACGGACCCGAAATAATAATATATAAAAACATAGGCAAAATGTTTTAAAATAGTTGCCCAATTTTCTTATGTTTTTATCATTGGCAATTTCCGGTATGTCAATACAGGTAATGCATCTGGAAGTTGCATGTCCATGATTTGCATAATGCCCTTCACATTGGAAGAAACTACAGAATTATAGTCGGCACTCGTTTTTCTCAATGTATCAAAGGAATTTAAGAATAGTTGAGACTTCTTAAATCCGTTGTGATTGAAATCCGCCTACGAGAAGGAAAAAGCAAAATATCAAAACAAATCCCCAGTTAGATCGTTCCCGCCATTGGAATGCAGGCTTGCAAATTGGTGTTCATGTACGATGCATAATATACAATAATATTTAATTCCCCAAATGACCGCTGCGTGTCGCTGGGGTAATCAATCAGATAAGAACATCTGGATATGTTCCAACTTCCGCCTTCTTGAAAGCCACACCAGATGAGTCATTCGTTGCCAAGCCGTCTACGAAGTCGTATGTAGTGTTCTTGTTATAAAGTTTCTGGAAACGAGTGAAAGTTATCGTCAGTAGTATACATTTTTATGTCAATACTTCAGTTATACTTCTTCGATTATCCGGACCCCTTCGAGGTAAAGGTTGAAAAAATAAGTCCGGATAATTGAATACCTTAATTAATTTTTCGAAAACGTATGAAGAAAAAAATCATTTTCCGAAAGAAATTGTTACATTTATAAATTTTCCGAAAAAGATAAATGGTACATTTACATCATCAAATAACATTTTCGAAAGCTTTGTTTAAGTTATTGTCCAGTATCTGTACAATCGACTATTAGGCAAGAACTCTCAATAACATATTGATTGGGAATAATTTCTTCTCCATTTTTTTCGCGACGCCCCTTGGGATGAAATCTTCAAAGATCTCACAGAAAATTGTGCCGCTGAGGTTTCTTCTTAGATGAAATCTGGCATAGATAGTTTTGTGCCATGTCGAAAATACCAAGTGAAACATTGATTTACTCCTTCCTATCCAGTCGCTATAGCCCACAGGAATCGCTTCTTCGGACAATAGCAACATGATAGCTCTGATCATAACAGACGCCTCTATGCGTCCGTTCGTAATAGCTGCAAGGGCGTTGTCAATGCGGCAAATCATTGTTCGCTGATAGAGTGAGGCATCGCATAGACTCTCAAGGGTTTGGTCCTGGTAGTTACTGGTGGCACTGTAAGGATGTTAAACAAGGGTAAATCTTCAAACTCTTCTTTATTCTGGAAGTTCAAAGTGTTGTCATCTGCCTGCTGATAAATCAGAATTCTTGGCTCATAAATTCTCCCCTGAAATCCACTCTCGACTCATCAGAGGTATCTTTGATTTTCCACCTAGAACCAAGTTTCTAATGCGTGATATAAACATAGTTCTATGCATCGCTTTTGTTATCATCTACAAACTAGATACCAACAAGCGATGCATCTGAATAGTAAGTTAGATAAAGTAAAACCGATCTAAAAAATGACATACGACCAGTTGTTAACTGGGCAAAAAATGGTTTGTTGGTTGTTTTGTTTTATGGCATATCAAAACCTCAGTGGGTCATTTAATGCCAACAAAATTTTTGAAAAAGATTCATAACGATAGTTTGGTAAAAAAAAAAAAAAAAAAAAAAACAAGTGTGTATGTGTTGAGAGGTTCTCCCCTTTTTACACAAATGGACTCACCCAGTATATACATATACTACTGCTACGGGAAGAGACGAGAGTAAGGAGAGAGAAAGACCGAGGAGTCGAGTCCAGAGTGACAGAGTAAAAGGTTGTAGGTAACCGGAAGAGTGAGGGGTGAGGTAACAGCGTTGTAGGAGTCACAGTGAGCGAGCACGTAGACTCAGTAAGAAGTCATACAGCGATACTTCAATACCAAAGACAGTATATATATTTTGCTACTAACCCGTATTCCTGGAACTACTAACCTGCTTTACCAGTTTGTATTATTACGTTAATACATTATTTTCATATATTCATTCCTGGCGTTTGTTATTTATTGGTACCGGATTTCAACCCGGAATCCACAACAGTATGTATACATATATATATATGAGCCATTTTTCAATTACTCATATTTTTCAGTACAATCAAACTTCTTTTAGGAAATTTCCAATCTTGGATGGTTTTATCTTCGTAATTTTTTTTTTAATTACTCACTTGGTAATATTTCGTTCGCACTAGTAAAAATCTACACACTCTAACAGTATATGCTTCATTGTAATTTTTTCCCGCAGTAGGTTGCCAATTCTTTCAGCGGTAGACCAGTTCCCATTCAAGGCTATAGAACCCGTTTTGTCCTGCTACTTACCCATAACTGGAGGGAGAAGAAGAGGATTCACACCTTTCCCATGAGTATTAGCACGTAAGTGAATGGATTCTACTGGAATTCGAACTCGGCTCTTCAATTCCTCAATCCTAGTCGCTATCCATTACACCACCGTAAAACTTATAACTATAATATTCTCAGCATCCTTCCGTAGAACCACAATTCTGTTGCTTGAAGTCTTTCCTTCATCTGTGCGAAGATTGTCTAGCATTCATTGGCATCTAAAAGGAATGATCCAATTGTCTTTAACGAAGTTAAATTCTTCTCATCCTATTTTCACCTTAATTCTACCTCGCGCTCTATTCGTCAGAATCCGGATTATAAGCTTCGTTATGTGGCTCATTAAACTTATTAACTGACTACCAGACTAAGTTACGCAGAATAAATAATCCTTTTAGAAAGGCGCCTACTGTAGAGGAATAGTAAGCAAGGTAATCACACTGACAACGTTTTCTATCTTTAGTGGAGACTCAACGACTCTAAAATGAAGCTGGTAACGTTTCATCACCCCAGAACAGACACTGACTTCCCTCTGCTCTTGATACTTGTCCGCTCAACGAGGCTAATTGGCTGGAACGTCTACTGGGATTAATGCTCATCCAGACCCCAAGTGGAACTCGTATATAAGATCCATCACTAAAGATTCGCGAAAAAAAACGTCTTTTGCTTGGACCGCTCTAGAAAGCATCCTAACTTCTTCTGTTATGCCCTCTCTTTACAAGGACAAGCTCTGATCTGGGAAGGAGCTGTTTAATAGAGTTTAATTCAGTTTAATAGCGATAAAATAAAAGGGAGATAACTGCGTGTCATTTCAATTTTTGAGAGACGATGTACACTAGTTTCATTCAATTCTCAATGATGTCTATTGCTTGTTTATTCCCGCGTTCATTCAATAATTGTAGATGTTTTCTTTTTTATCATCGCTTTTGGCATAAGCATTAGAATTCTAAACTTTTCGAATGTGTGTTTCTCCTTTTCATAATTACGTTTTGTTTTTTGTTTTGTTTTGGTTTTTGTTTTGTGTTTTGGTTTTGTTTTGTTTTTTGATTTGTTTTTTGTTTTTTGTTGTTTTTTTTAGGTTTTTTTGTTTTTGAGGGGAGTGGTTCCTGTCATTAATTTTATAGAATTTCATATTATTTGTATCTGACTGTATCAAGTGTCAACAATTCTATTTAATGCATCAGCACTTTCTTCATTATTCTACCTGATTTCAATAAAACAATAGTTTCAGTTCAGCCTCGGTGTGGTTTATTTTGTTTTAAAGCATATCAACACCTCAATGGGACATTTAATGCCGACAAGATTTTTAGGATAGGTTCGTACGAGTAGAATATGTATTATTTGGTTTTGTTTGATTTGGTTTGGTTTGGTTTATTTTGTTTTACAGCATATCAACTCCCCAATGGATTATTTATTGCCGACAAGATTTTTAGGAAAGGTTCGTATGAATAGAATATGTATTCTTTGTAAGAAATCAGTTTATAGATTTTTTTTTTTAGTTCATAGGTTTCATTGACATATAAAGATAGTTTTTGTCGAGAGTATTACTGGTAGTATTTTTTTATAAAAAAAAAAAGATATTGCTGGTATTTTTACTATAAAAATCTATTTTTTAATTTCATAGTGTTTTGATCCCTGTTAGGTAGCCTATATCTGTGCCCGCTAACAGGTGCTACTGCCCCTGACCAGGGTATACCTGGAAACAATAGCAATTAAGAGGTGGTCCCACGCTCCTCAAAACCTCACGATCAGTGGCTTTGCTGCCAGATGTAGTTTATTGTCATACCCAGGACTGGTTTACCTTCGTACGAGGGTCGGTCAAAAATGAATATCTGTTCTTTAATTTCAACAGCTCTAACAGTAGAAGCTATTAAATTATACGGAACCAAATAAAGTACTGCGATTTCTCATTTAACGACCGAGTAATAGCAATATGTTCGCTAAATGGGATGGTCGCTAAAAGAAAAATTGTACTTAACTGCTATTCCAGGCATACTATAAGTTTAATGGTCAAGTAGCGACCAGCTTAAGGTAGCTTTAATGTCATTTTTGCGCTATTTCTATTTCATTTCTAAGTAAAGTAAAATGAATAATCAAATCTGATGCACTTGACGCCTGTGGAACTTCCTTCAGATTTCTTGCTTCCCTGATAACTGCAATATTCAAAAATTTAAATGCAACATCAATCGCCATCTTCTGTCTTCTTAAAGCCCGTTCATCTTTTGCTCTTTCCTCACTCCTCCCTATACTCAGTCTTCTCTTTCCCTTTCACTCTCTATTACCCACTGCGTCTTAGTGGCATTCTCACCCTGCTTGGGGTGAAATGTAAAAAAAAAAAAGACCAATTGTCCGAACTTAAGTTGGTCGTTTACCAAACTTGTATGAATGAAAATTAATTTTCCAAGCATATCCGATATATATATATATATATATATATATATATATATATATATATATATATATATAGATAACTAGACTCGTTTCGAAAAACCCTCGAATTTTTTGATTTGCTAATCAAATCAATCTCGAGGAAAAAAGGTTTTAAAAAAAGAAAGAGCTAATAACATGAACTTCTGCCGACAATAAAATCGCACAGATGCAGGTCCGAAAGCCCAAAGAAAAAACCCCGACACGAGTAAACAACTAACTAACAAAAGAGCTCAATACAACCGTAGAGCAGACCTAGATACACCTAGTGAGCCAGACAAACCTACCTAGGTTTCACCTAAACGGATCGTCAGGGAAAGTTTGGCCAAACTTTCCCTGACGATCCGTTTAGGTGAAACCTAGGTAGGTTTGACTGGCTCACTAGGTGTATCTATATATATATATATATATATATATATATATATACAGTAAACCCTCAGCTTTATGGTCCCGGAACCAACCGACTGCGGATTTAAATTTAAAACTTCATTTAAAGGTACGTAGCAACTTAAAAATAAAATACATATATACAGTATTTACAATTATTTTGTACTATACTGGATGTTTTTAGGCCTGTGCTACAAATTAACGGACGCTCCGCCTATTAGTCCGTTAAATTGAGGTACCACTGTGTTTTACAGCTTACCGGTGTGGCTAGACATCAGATCGCTTCAAATCTGACTGATTTGGCATCGGTTGAAGATTCTAACCCTTAGGATATCGATGCCCGGCAGAGAGAAAGGCGAATTTTTACGTATTTTTTTTTCATAAACACACCAATGCCCCAGAGAACTTAATCCAACTTGGAGAGTCTTGCATTATCAGCAGTAATAGTGGCTAAATTCAAATATCAGCTCATTTCTGTATATTATTACTGCTTGCTTTTTATAAATGCAGTATTTAATAGTTTTATTTTTCGCTCAATTCATTTTATCTATTTTGATTCATCTTGAAGAAAGAGAAAACAATCAAGAAAAAACTATTCCTATAACATATAATGCCGACTGGTTGGGCGTAATTTCGGATATTGTTAAACAGGTGCGTCGTTAAATGAGGTGTCCCTGCATGCATAAAATATGAGTTAAATGAAATAAAAATTATTAAATAATTACAATAAACCAATACAAGTTTAGCACTGTAAATAATCTGAAATATTTGCCCTGAACGAATCAAAAACAGATTCTCACATTTTCTTGATTTCACACGCCAAGTATATATATATATATATATATATATATATATATATATATAACTGTTTTAAGATTAGTTGAAGAGGGAAATAAACTGTCAGCATCAATAACATTCTCTCAGAAACGCACTTTCTCCGATATTAAGAACTATCTCTCTAAAAATATAAAATATTTAATATTAAACATATATATATTTAAAGACATTTTTATGTTTAACATTCGTTTTATAGATACAAGTATTTTAGTAAATGCTCTGTTTATAATAAACAATATTAAATAACATTTACCGGCCTGAATACTTGTATCTATAAAAAGAATGTTAAACATAAAAATGTCTTTAAATAATTGTCGGACTTTGTCCATTTCATAATATATATATATGTATACCTGTGTGTTCACACAGTCGCACTTACACAAAAACACCGACACGCATACACACGCGCATACACTAGCATATATACACACACATACACACACACACACACACACACATATATATATATATATATATATATATATATATTAATGAAAATTTCTCCGATTTAATCGGTAGAGAAGACAATATTATGAATAAAAATGACAATAGGAAAACTGGTAATTGCTGACGCGTTTCGTCCAATGTGGACTTTATCAAAGCAAAATACGAAAATGAAATTAAATGAACAACGTAACTAATAAAAATAAAAACAGAATGTACCTAGCAACTGGAATGTAGAGAAACGCTATTTTCATATTTTTTAAATGAGAAATAACGTCGGAGATTGTCACGTGTGGAGAATATTGTCATTATATCTGTGTTGATGTATTCAACCATTTTCTTTCGATTTTAAGATACAAACAAACATGCACAACAGATTCTTAAAATCGAAAGAAAATGGTTGAATATATAAAATGGTTTAATATATATATATATATATATATATATATATATATATATATATATATATATATATATATATAGTTAAGTAATTCATCGAGTCTGGAAACAGAATACAGAAAGTACTGAACGGCCGTTTCGTCCTATATTTGAGTCTCATCAGCATTGCTCATCCACTACTGATAATTGAAACACGGACAGGTACGTTATCAGGCAAACGGCATACCAACGGGAGTCGGTGATGAAGAGTTAGTGAATTAGACTCGAGATAGCGCCGTTCAATCACTTATTCCGTGGTGGAAGTCATCCGAGTTTCCCTTACCAATAGGACTGTGACTGTGCCCCACAATTCACTACTGCTATCCCCAATTTCAATTCTACGCACACACACACACACACACACACACATATATATATATATATATATATATATATATATATATATATTAAAAAGAAGAGAAGTGCCGCAAACGTTTTTGGTTGTAATATGGATTTATTTAGAAAAAAATATTATGCTTTGTTTTACATAATTTTACGACACGTGTTTTCCACATATTATTAAAAATAATTAATTGTTTCCTTATGTTCAATGTTAAATATTCTCGATATGAGACATTCTCTGTTTGTGTGTTGGTAATCCGAATTTCTTTCGGATTACCAACACACAGTCAGGGAGGACCTGGAAAGACCAACAATTAAGAGGTGGTTCCACGCTCCTCAAAACCTCCTGATCAGAGGCCTTGCGGTTGGACGTAGTTTATCGTCTTACGCGGGACGCGGATGTAGTTTGTCGTCATACCCAGGACGGTCATCTGTGAGGAGATTGTAAAGTATTTATTGCCATAAACGTAGAACCGATATTATATAAAAGTTCAACACGAATTTTTCCTGTTTCCTAATATTTGCTTAGATCTTAGAAACCATTCTGTATTTTAATGCGCCTTTGTAATTTTGTTATCGCATTTTCCATCCTCTAGTAAAACACGGTGGAAGATATTTCAATAGTCGTACTTGATTTTGATGTCTTTCATTTTGCAGTTGGCATTTTGGGCTGTTGCCCTGGGCTGATAAACATACATTCTGTTTTCTTAGAATTCATGTTTAGTTCTTTACAGGATTTTAAAATATATTCCATGATCTGCCTGCTTATAAGATTACTAACTGATATTTTCGCTAATATTGGGACTTGAACACCGTTCTCTGGAACTACACAGCTACATCAGCCATTATGTTTTTTTTTTTCTCGTTTTCACTTTTGCCGCTAGGGTGTTGCCGAAGGATATGTTGAATGGAAGAAAGAAGCAAACAGATAAAAAGAAATATTTCTCAAAGACGAACAAAATGAAGACCAATTTCTTTGTAGTTGCTTGTTAATCATTCGCTTAATTCAGAACGGAAATGCAATCAACGAAGCGGTTTTCATAACTTCCGTTTATTGGTCACTATTATTCACCATGTTTTTAAGGGAGGAATGACGTGGGGTAGGAGACTTTTTTCTACGTTTTTTTTTTTGCTTTGTTTTTTTTTTTTTTTTCGTTTCATCTTAACATTTCATTCTCTCTTCGTGCTTTCCTCTACTCCCATCCAAATCTATAAAAACAAAATTACTTACATGCCAACAAAAGAAAAGATGTATATATAAACCAATGAAATCGTTCTCTGTTTCTCATTTTCTTTACATGTCTTTCAAACTCCCCCACCACACACTTTTTTTTTCTTCGGTTGTTTTTTGTTATTTTCGCTTCTGTTTACAAACCCGTGTATCATTGCCATATCGAGCTGCATGTAAAAGATGAAAGTAACTCCGACAATCATGCATATAAGTGTATACATACAACGACTCCCTCGACGGACTGTTCGACTGACTAGCCAATAATTAACCCCACGTTGCGTGTCGATTATCGATCTCGTCAGTGTGCACCAAAAACTGGGAAAGGTAACGCCGCATGCTCACAACGTAACACGAAGAAAGACAAAACACCATGTCGAGAAATAAGAAATTATATGGAGATTTTTTATTCAGGTCTTCACCTGGCTAGGTAGGTATGTAGATAGGTTGGTAGGTAGATAAGTGATACTTGGTACAGCTTCTGCTATGTCAGCTCTTCCCCCTACTAACTCCTTGCCCATATACACATCTCAACGTATGGCTGGCAATACGAATGGACGGCATTGATACCAGACGACAGACAAGTCCTTCTTCCGTCGAGGGCGAATCACAACTTACTCCGATTCCCAACATGACGGTTAATATAGATCAGCATCCGGATACACCCTATGTCCGGTTTTGCTGTTATTTGATCTCTAAATAAACCGCCATCGGTCAAAGTGGATTCCGCTTAGAAAACTAGACTAAAAAAAGCACTGTTAAACAGAAACCTCCTGAGAGTGTAATAAAATCACACCTACCTTCTTTTTTATTACGTGGTTATCAATATCACATAGTTAATCTATATTCATATTGAAAAATAATGGTTACGGACGATTTTGTTATGTCGATGTTTATTCACGCGATTCTAAGAGCATTATAAATAAATAATCCATATTTGGTCTAATTTGATTCCTTTAATTAGAAAGCATAGCAAGAGTGGGGTACGTTTTATCGCTCCAAGAAGTACCTAATTTCTGATATGTTTTATCTTTACAAGAGTAGTCTATCGAATGAGAATCATCTTGTATTAAACTTCAGCATATGATAAACAGCGTTGTTCGTGATGTATCAGTTGGATGACACTGATTTATTTTGAAGACATTACATCGTCTATGTAAGACGTAGAGTTTTCATTAAAATGGATTTATGAAGAATCTGCTGTTTGTCTCTGTGCGCACTGAATCATCTCCTCAACCAATAATTCCCAAATTCTGCTCTGAGATTTCTCGGATCGTCACGGGTTAGCCTTCGGGGACGCCGCGGGATATTCGAAAACTTTCATAATTCCATGAATAATGATAAGAAGTGTCGTCCAACTGATACATCACGAATAACGCTGTCCATCTCACACTGACATTCAATATGTCAATACTACATGACGCTCGTTCGATAGACTACGCTTCCCTTCTCGATTTTCAAGTATTGTGTCGGTCACATGTTGTCGCATATAAATAACTATAGATTATCTGTGACCTCGTTAACCTCATGGCGAATGGCGTTGAGATCAAAGCTACGTATTTGAACTATTCATACCTTGCTACCTTTTTCTTCCAGCCGTTGCCAGCAAAACACCGCAATCCTAAGCATAACTGCAGGTCAATATTTTAAGAAGAGGGTACAAATGAAACGATTCCTTTTCACAGAAGCAGACGTTAAACACGTGTGGGTGTTACAGCCTCCTCTATCTTCCCTTGCTTTCTTTTTCTTACTGAAACCAAACTGCTTCTTTTTCCGCCTTTCCTCGCGATCAAAACGGAATATTCGACCATTAATGATGTATTGGCAGGGTGTAACGGTCGTGCTAACTAAGGAACGAAAGATCAATTAGAATTATATAGAAAGATGTTGTGGCCTGTTTAGGGACCAGAAAAAAAGACACGAAAGACGAAGGTAGGTCGAAAAAAATATATTGAAGATATATACAAAACAATAGTGTTAGTAATAAGTAGATTAGCACTGCGTCTACTACTCCACTTGATTTTACACTCTGCGCTAACGTCCGACTCTCGCAGTTTGTATTTATGAGAGAAGGAAGAGTTCATTATACTGTAAGAGGGTTTACCACAACAAAAGACCCGTTAAAATCTGACGGTTTTGCTATTTGAATCTACTGATAAATCTTATTTCTTAAGTCAAAGATTGAATAATCTTATGGCGAGTCCTACAAGTATAAAATAAGCATAAAAGTTCCCCTATAGCCTCCTTAAATATTTGAGTTTAACAACTTTAACAAAATATTGCAATAATAATCATAAATATGAAAGGTGTTCGTTATTTTGAGAAGTAAGGGGGTACAAATGAAAAGATTTGAAATTGACAACTATTTCCATTTAACTGAAACAGTCGTTAAACATTTTTATCTTTCTTTCTTTCTTTAGTTCTTTCTTTCTTTCTTTAATTTATTTTTTCACTGAAACAAAGTAGCGCCTTTCGTTTCTTTTCTGTTATTTCATGCGATCAAAACAGAATGATCCATTATTTATGAAATATTGACAAAGCGTAACGGTCGCGTTAACTAAGAGAAAGACAAACAGAATTATGATAGGATATTGGCTTGTTTGAGAGCTTTATAGCACCCTTCCATCCGTGTACATATATATATATATATATTTTTATATATATATATATATATATATATATAGAGAGAGAGAGAGAGAGAGAGATATGCGTGTGTATGATTGTATGTATGTGAGTGTGTGTGTGTGTGTGTGTGTGTATCTATATTTGAGTAAGTTACCATGTATCTATCGAAACTTTTGCATTTTTATAAACGTAGATATTTTTCAATTTCTTTTTATAGTCTCGCCATCTCTCTCTTCCCTCTCTATCTCTTTCTCTCTCAATGCACACGCTTATACAGTATACACACACATACACACATATATATGCATATATATATATACATATATATATATACATATATATATACATATATATATAAACAGATATTTCTTTTATACTCTCGCCATCTCTCTCTCTTCCTTCTCTCTCTTTCTCTCTCAATGTAACGTTTATATTATACACGCACACACATATATACATATATATATATATATATATATATATATATATATATATATATATACATATATATATATATATATATATATATATTTATATATATATATATATATATATATATATATATATATATACAAAACCCGGATATAAGAGAGTTGTCGGGAAGTCTTATATCCGGGTTTCTCTTATATCCGGGTTTGGTCTATTTTATATAAATTAACACAGGCTCTAATTTGGGACCAGAGAAAATCTCTCTTATATCCGGGTTTCTCTTATATCCGGGTTACACTGTATATGGAACTTTGATTAAATAATATACAGTGTAACCCGGATATAAGAGAGTTGTCGGGACCGGAGAAGAAGTCTCTTATATCCGGGTTTCTCTTATATCCGGGTTTGGTCTATTTTATATACATTAACACAGGCTCTAATTTGGGACCAGAGAAAATCTCTCTTATATCCGGGTTTCTCTTATATCCGGGTTACACTGTATATGGAACTTTGATTAAATAATACAGTGTAACCCGGATATAAGAGATTGTCGGGACCGGCGAAGAAGTTTCTTATATCCGGGTTTCTCTTATATCCGGGTTTGGTCTATTTTATATACATTAACACAGGCTCTAATTTGGGACCAGATAAAATCTCTCTTATATACGGGTTTCTCTTATATACGGGTCTCTTATATCCGGGTTACACTGTATATATATATATATATACATTAAAACAATTTTCAATAAAGTTAAGAGTATGAATGACTGCTGGGCAGACATCTAGATTTCAGAACTATTTCTGTTTTAAGCGGCTTATGACGTTGGCTTCTCATCAGATTAAAACTAAAAACTAAAATCATTCCAAAAGTAAGTGTCCGTAACATGCAACCTACATACACTATGATTTTATCCCAGATAAACTGCGACTATAGTGATATCACTGTCAGTTGATATCTTGCTAAATGGAAATCATCAGGACTTGCAGAAAAGTGGTTTTGACATTTATTTCCCTTGTAAGCGAAGCGGACTTCACAAGTAACATGGGAAGCAGTCCTGACAAAATAGTTTCCTGAATAAAGATAAATTAATTTTTAGACAAAGATGACAAGACTAAAAACAAAGGTCTCTATAAGACAGTGGCCACGACCAACCGTAGACTGAAAGAGACGGAGAGGGCCAACAGAAAATAATGAGAAGAGCGACACGAAGCGAACAGAAGACGCCAGTTATACTGTTAACCTCCCCACCTCACCTACGCTTCATCTCTGACTCGATCGTCTATAGCAGTAGGTTACAACCAGAAAAAAATGTTGCTTACTTATACGAAAGTCTCATGCTTTTAATTCGTGGGTGACAATCTGGTGAAAGGGTTATTTTAAAGCCACAAGCGTTTGGCTGGAAGAAGCTGAGAACGAACCTGGCATCTGGTCTGAGCTGCAACACTACACAACTCCGAAATCCGAAACGCATTGGGCTAATGAAAGATGTCATCCAGAATATAAGCAAAGTGTTTAGAAACAGAAAAAATTCGTCAAAAGCAAAGAGAAAACTGCTGGATTGCTAGTTGATATCCATCTTCTTATGTGCCTGTAAATGGTGGACAATATCCGCAGAGATTAAGAAAAAAACCGGAAGTAACAGAAATGCGGATCTACTGATGAATACTGAAAATACTATGGTCAAGTTAAGTAAGCAACGAAGAAGTCTTAAAGAAAATGATAAGAAGATGAACACTTAAACTCAGAATCACAAGCAACAGAAATGTGGTTCTACAGAAGGATAGTGAGAATTCTATGGGCGGAGCGAGTAAGCAACGAAGAAGTCTAAAAGAAAATGATAAGAAGATGAACGCTTAAACTCAGAATCAGAGGCAAAAGAAATGTGGTTCTACAGAAGGATAGTGAGACTTCTATGGGCGGAACGAGTAAGAAACGAAGAAGTCTTAAATTAAATGGTAACAAAAAGAACGCTTATACTCAGAATGATGAAGAGATAGCTAAACTTCCTTAGAGAAAGAAGGGATTTGAAACCTGAACCTTTACAGGGTATAGTGAAAGCAAGTAAGATAAGGGAAGGCAATGAACAACCTACCAGATGAGGTTGAGTGAATGTATGGTAAAACGAAGGGCGGGTGCCCTACCAAATGGAGAAAAACTGCTATGGGCCACAAAGGGGGAGGAAGATTTGGGAAGCCATGATCGCCCATGTCGTGAAGGATGATAATGATGAAGAAGAGTCAAATCAAAATGGTAATCTAAATGTCCAATGTGAGTGCTTGCATACTGACAGGATTTTGACTGGGAAATTTAAAGCAGATCCTGCACGGAGAATGTGAACAGTGTTTGATAAAATTGAAGGTACCAGCCGAACTGATCAAAAGTGGTCGGGGTGAGGCTTTCAATCGTAAACGAACCAGACAAAATGAACGTAGGGTGATTGTGAGTCATTAAGGATGACAGACGAGTGGGGGGATTTGTTGAATGAAATAATGGTTCAAAACAAAAGACTAAATTATATAATACTTGTTGCCTCGAACATGAAAAGTTGGACCTTAGAAAAACGTGTGGACATCTTGCTCAGTCGATGAAACAGAATAATCTCATAAGAAATGTTTGTGGTTACCTTAGATTGATAGAAGCAAACAGTGTGTGTACGAAACAGATAGATAGATAGATAGATAGATAGATAGATAGATAGATAGATAGATAGATAGATATGAATAGAGTCAAATAGATAGGTACATAATGAAAAGACTAATCGAGATAGATAGATAGATAGATAGATAGATAGATAGATAGATAGATAGATAGATAGATAGATATGAATAGAGTCAAATAGATAGGTACATAGACATGAAAAGACTGATCGAGATAGATAGATAGATAGATAATAGATAGATAGATAGATATGAATAGATCAAATAGATAGGTATAATCGAGATAGATAGATAGATAGATAGATAGATAGATAGATATGAATAGAGTCAAATAGATAGGTACATAGACATGAAAAGACTGATCGAGATAGATAGATAGATAGATAGATAGATAGATAGATAGATAGATAGATAGATAAAGTAACATAATGATAATTGAGATAGATAATAGATAGATAGATAGATAGATAGATAGATAGATGATAACGATCAGATAGATAGATAGATAGATAGATAGATATGAATAGATATGAAATAGAGATAGATAGGTACATAGACATGAAAAGACTGATCGAGATAGATAGATAGATAGATAGATAGATAGATAGATAGATAGATAGATAGATAAAGGTAACGCTAACAGATAATTGAGATAGATAGATAGATAGATAGATAGATAGATAGATAGATAGATAGATAGATGAAGGTAACGCTATCAGATAGATAGATAGATAGATAGATAGATAGATAGATAGATAGATAGATAGATAGATGAAGGTAACGCTATCAGATAATTGAGATAGATAGATAGATAGATAGATAGATATGAACAAGTGAAATAAATAGGTACATAGACAAGAAAAGACTGATCGAGACAGATAGATAGATAGATAGATAGATGCTGTTCCCTATCCTAATTTTAAGTAATAGCAGATTAATTATATCTCGACCTCTGAATGTCTTTCTTCTTCGTTTTGCATGCAGTGCTCATCAAGCATTCTGTTTAGAAGTTAATTGATTTTGAATATTTTGCTTGTATCAAAGCCTCTCCGTCTAGTTATATTGACGTTCCGATTTCAAGCGAACATGGTTGATTGACTTAATTAATTTTCCTGCCGCCCTGTCGACCCCACCGCGCAATATCTACAAGCCATGTTGAAATGCTCAACTATTTTACGAGTCTCTTAAAGAAACAGATTATCAGTCAAGCCTCATAAGCAGACACCAGAAAATTTTGGATTTGCGGGGGGAAAAACTACGTACGTACACTCTGGGCAAAAAGTTTTGGACCACCCTCTTGATTTCGAAGAATCACCTAAACAATGAGGTTTACGTCTCGTTTTCAAGACTAATTTTCTAGCTGACCAGGACAAGGACACTTTATATGCCTTAAAAGTTTTATCATATAATAATAATAATAACTAGCAATAGAACCCGGCGTTGCCCGGGGATGTAACAGTAAGAGATAGATCAAGTATCGACCATCATAAAGACTGAAAAATAAAAATGAGAAAGATTATTGTTTAAGGTTGACGGACACAGCATGTCTTAATTAGTTTTTTTTTTTTTTTGTTTTGTTTTACGAATTGGTCAAACCCAAACTCAAACAAAAACATTGTTTTCAATCGTTATGAATCTACCGATTGAATAGAATTTTATTATAAACAATTGTCTTGTAAATGGAATTTTTAAAGCATTCTGAATGTAAAAATAAAGAAAAAAGTGTACAAGACAATAAGAAACACTACCTGCCAAAAAAAAAAGTAAAATTTTGTTGAAATCGGTTGAAAAATGTAGGAACTCCGATCCCATATATAAACGAACACACACACACACACAAACACACACAAACAACCTGGGTTTTATAATAAGTATAACTCAATATGAGCTGCCCCCTTTCATTCTCGCGACAGTCATGCCTCTTAATCGTGTTTTCAAATTGATTTCGTGCAAAAACACTTGTGTTTTTCCAATTTTTGGCGCTGTCAGAACCACCGCAATATATAAACGAACAGACACACACACACACACACACACACACAACCTGGGTTTTATAATAAGTATGATGACAAGATAAACCTCTTCATTATCAACACACTGCTCGTACCAAACAAACTAATGTAGAAAAATCCCGTACTTATCAGTGGTTACGTAGGGTTATGTTAAAAACTGGAACCGAAGGTTTTATTCTTGCTGGACAGGACTCATGCTTGCTAATTAGAAATTACCAAGCACACATACTGAAAATACAGTTTCAACATCCTTAATTGGACCATAGCTGACATTAAGCGAATGAATGTCAAAACGAGAAACTTCTCACTTGCCACCGCATGCATCATCCTAAGACTGATGTGCCCAGATCCGAAGGAGGCAGAGGATTAGTTCAACTAGATCTGTCTTACAAAATCACAACTATAAAGATACCTGAAAACTACAGAAGACTGGATGATGATCTGTGTCAAAGAACATGAAAGTAATAAGAAATTTTATTCAGTAATAAAGGAAACGAGTAAATTCCAAATGAAATTTCAGGTGTGTGAAGAAGTGCAAATAAACAGTGATACAACTACTGCAACAACAGAGAACCTAAAAAAGAAAACAAAACCAAATGCAATGCACCAAATGCTAAAGCGGCGGCAAAATAAGCCTCTTCATGGTCAATATTTTGTCCGTAGCAAACAAGCTGACGTAGACAAACGCCACACCCATCAGTGGTTACGTAGTGCAGGGTTAAAAGCTGAAACCGAATGTTTTATACTTGCTGCAAAGGACCAACTATATACCTGATAACTTACATTTCCAAGCACACTTACTGAAAAATTGCGTTAACCCCAAATACAGATTCCAGAAACAATTGACTATCTTATATCAGTTTGCACAGTGCTAGCAATGACTGAATATAAAGCTCGTCATGATAAAGTGGGCCAATTCAAAAATACGCTCTTAAGTAGGCGCCCGAGGGGGTTGTTATTGGTTCATCAAGGAGTTTCGGGTCTTTCAACATCATACTCCTCATCACCAAGTCGACCCAATCAGGGGAGATCAATCTCTGATCCCCACTTTTTGTCAAACGCTAACAGTTACTCTGGCCTTTTAATGAATTAGACGAAGAAAGATCACATTTTCCGCACACCCGATTGGATGTTTGTAACAACCAATCCGCTGCGCGAACTATCTTTTAAATGGTCTACGGTGGGGACTGGCTTCTTTTCTTTTTCTCGCTATGATAGAGTGGGTCAATACCTGTACTGGAAAATATGCAACTTTTACGTGAAGGAAACTGGGATGAACATCTCCCTGACCCGATCACAGATATAGGACCTGCAACAATTTTTATGGTACTTTACAATACATACAGGCAGAACGATCAAAACTAATCGCCCAGACATCGTGATGAAAGACTACAAAAACATAATTTCTTATTGACACGGCAGTCCCTGCAGATTGTAATGTATCTTTGTAGATCTTTTAAAAAAAAACTATCAAAATACACGGATCTTGAAGTGGAAATCTAAAATATGTGGCATATGAGGACATCAATAATCCCAGTTGTAGTTGGAACACTCGGATTGGTTGGAAAAGGTTCCAATAGACTCATTGACGATATTCCTGGTATCCCATGGCTGGAGGAAATACAACAAAGTTGTACTCACACATTAAGAAAAGTTTTATCTAATTAAGATATGTGTGATCTTGGTTTTTCTGCTTGTTTTCTTTTTGTTTTGTTTTTGTTTTTTTTGACCAGTGGGAAATGTAATGAAGCCATTTCTGACCTTAGCTCTCTGGTTGGGACCCGGAAGGAAATGTGTATACAAAAGAAATCAAAGAAAATAATAATAATGACAACAACAACAATAATAAGAAGAAAATTAACTTCTGACTGCATAACGTTCCCTTAAAAATGTAGCTTTTTTGCCTAATCTACCTTACAGGGCAATGGTAACTTTGGGTATGATGATTTTCAAATTTTAGGCAATCCCTTCTTTAAAGAACTGGATACAATGAATTAAATAGTTTCAGCATACTAGCTTAGTATTTGTTAATAAAGTCAAAGAAGTCCGAATATTTAGCCTTTAGTGTAAACATGTCAATGCTTACGGCCATATTACGGCGAAATATTAGTTCCGGAACGATCACCAAAGTTAATCCATGTCGATCTCTGTTAAATACCTAGGTAGGTGACCACTTGGGAATACCATATACTATAAGCTTGACTTAACTAATAACGGCTCAGAATCGGAAATCGGAGAGCCGAGACCGAATTCCCATCGCGTTCGTTATATTTACTGACGCGAAGTGATGGATTCCCATCTTAGGAAAGGTGGGAATCCATCACTTCTCAGGTATGATTTAAATAATAGGGCTTATTTAAGAAAATCATAATTATTATCAAACTTTCTTAGAACCCAAAAATATTTTCTGACTTTAAATAACTTACAAAATGTTGATAAGCTGTAAAAAAAATAAAACTGTCAATAAAAACTATACTTTTACTTCCGGTATATACAGAATAATTTACAAATATAACAACTAAAAAATTCACATGAACGGACACTGGTCCTCACCATATGAACACATCTGAAAATGAATCAGTTTATATATATAATAAAACCGGCCTGATGTACATATTTATTCATGTTCTTGATACAGGGTGCCGTCTAAATTACGCAAAAATGACAATGACACAACAAATATATCTACCAAAATTACACAAAAATGTCTTGAAATAATGAGTAAATTTAATCAATAAAACGCCATTGACTTCAACCACGGCCTCCAGACGACTTCGGAATCTCCTGCAACTCTTCTGGCCGGTCTCCTTGTTTAAGTTGGTGAACGCTGCCATAATCCTTGCCTTCAAGCTTTGATGTTACAAAGAGTTTTGTTGGTATCTCGCTCAACTTCGTCCTACATAATAATCAAGGAGGTTGCAGTCTGTGGAGTTACTTGGCCAGGTGTAAGCAGAAACGTGATCGCAGAAATTGTCTGACAGCCATGACTGGGTTATGCTTATGTGGCATGGTGCAGAGTCCTTCAGTCCTCTTGATCCGTGGAAGTATTATCTCCTCAAGGCACTTGATGTAGGCAACTGTATTGAGTCCGAGGCCCTGTGAGAAGATGAGTGGAGGCATTACGTCGCCATCACTAATGATCACTCCGAACACCTTCATTAGACTCATCCAACTCTTTCCGAATCCTCTGCACTGTCCTCTGATTGACACGCAAACACTCTGAAATGTTCGTATTGGAGCTTCTGACGCGAATGCCAAGCCGTACAGCATACCGTTTCCAAATTTCTGATGGAATGAATTGCGTCATGGTGCTCTTTTTCTCGCAGATGGTACCCAACAGACCCTACTATACTGTACCCTACTTGTACCTGTAACGGCATTCACCCGAGGTGGGTTGAACCGGCTCCAATACTGGAGTTTCATCGGAATTTGGAATTCACAAGCGGTCCCCAACCCGCATGTATAGCACATGAGATTTGATTATAGTGGTGAAGGTTTCATGCAGGACCATCCACACTTTTTGAAGAGCCGATTACAGAGACCTGGTGCACTACGTGACACAAGGTCCCCAAACGACCCTCCGCAGGTTTTGAATTCAGAGTTTTCCTTCTCCTAGACCAGTTGCCATCCAAGGCTATAGAACTCAGTCTGTTCTGCTATTTACCCATAGCTGGATGGAGGAGAAGAGGATTCACACCTTTCCCACGTAAGTGAATGTAATGGATTTTACTATACTGTGCAGTCGACAAAATCAAAAAACAATCAACGCGCATGCGCAACATTAAAAATATAAAATAGCGACAATTCCCTCATTGCATCCTGTATATTAATGGTAATGATAAAAATAGACGTTTTCATTCATTTAGCATTCATTAACCGGACAGTTAATGTTAGTGTGTTTAAATCTGTAAAATGGTTTTATTTAAACAGTTTTTCAAGACATTGACTTCTCAACTCCACTGCTATCGATCTTTCTAGTAATGACA